GGGGGGGGGGGGGGGGATGGGCTGAAGATGAAAAGTGTGTGTCATGATGTCTGTGAAAGTGAGTGAGTGTGATCGGGTGTGAAACGTAGCGCACACACATTGCGAGGGTGTGTGTGTGTCCGTTAGGATCATTCAGGCAGAACTGATTAGAATGTGCAGGTCCCACTGAGATACACAGGAGAGAAAAGAGGAGTGCCACCCAACATCTACTGTTGACGTTACCAGACAGAGGAGGAGGAGGAGGAGGAGGGGGAGGAGGAGGGGAGGGAGACCCAAACAGAATCACAACACCTTTTCTTCAACCCTCCCCCTCTGTCCTTATCCCCCCCCCCACACACACACAGACATCTAGCGGTGGCTGTGTTGACTGATGGTGACGCGGGCCCTGCACGTTAACCCCAATTACATGTAAATGTCAAAACAAAACAATTATCTTTTAACTCATTTATCTTAAACCACTTCAACTTCAGAATCAAACCACGGAGCCGCACGTTGAAGTTGTGCGGACGGCAGTGAAGTGCACTTCCTGTGGAGAAACTCCAAGTCGACGTGATGGATTGATAACTGCAGCCAAACGTTAATCATGGAAGCCTCCGTGGGCCGGCGCTCTCCTGTTCACGTGTCGGAGAGAGGGATGCTGGGATTTGGCTGCATGTGTACAAAACACACTGTACACTCTGTGTGTGTGTGTGTGTGTGTGTCATTCAATAATAGAATCATAGAGAGAAGCACAGCTAGAAAAAACTGAAGACAATTATGCCAGATCAGTATAAATGATCGGTCCTCGTAGACCACAGTTGGCGTGGGTCCCTGACGTCAGCCTCGCTCTGCGCCCACAGCCACCGCACGGTTCACAGGATGATTCCCATCAGCCTCTGAACGGGGGGGAAAGTGCACTTTTTTTTTACTTAAAGATCTGCTTTGTTTAATACATTTCTACCTGTTATTGTGGTACAGTGCACGTGAACACACACACACAAACACACACACACACACGGAGCAGAGAAACCAACAATCAATCAAAGTCCTGCTAGCACGCTGACCCCGCCAGCTGCGTACCATTATCACCATGGCAACACCAATCAACTGGTGGCAACAGAAGTAGGTGGGATGTGCGTGTGCACATTCGACCAGCTTCAGTGCACGCGTGTGCGTGTGTGTTTGATGCTCACGGGTTTGGAAGCCACGGGAGAGTCTCAGCAGTGGCTGAGGGCACTGACATGTTCTCTGTGTGTGTGTGTGTGTGTGTGTGTGTGTGTGTAAAATGGCTGCTGAGCTGAAAGGTCTGGGACTCTGTGTACAGAATGTGACGCCCCACCGTGTTTGAAGACTCCGATGAGCAGTGACTTGTCAGCCTCGCTGTCCCACCAGTCAGCTGGGACTTCAGCCTGAAAGGGCTGTGGGATCCAGATATCCAGCTCACTGCAAAAGAAACAGGCAGCTCACATTAGTGACAATCAGGCTGCCATCTCTGTGTCTGGATGAACATTGGGTTTCCATCAATGACACGGGATATAGCTCATATAGTAATGGTCCAAATCTTCAGAGTTAGAAGAAATATCGTTGAAGTCAACAAAACAACTCTAGGAATAAAAAACAGATTTTCTCATCCTGAGTCAAGCTTAAATATTGAAAATAAGATTATTAAAAGAAAGAAAGACACCTGAATGCGTTGACTAATTGATTTCTACATTCTTGTCCAAGCTTAGATGTAAAAAACAAACTGAAATTAAACAGGATTTCTATTAATGAATGGTTTCCTTTGATTTCATAGAAAAACCTGTTGAATCTGGGTGTGTTTAACAGTCAAACTAAAAGCGTCAGCATTCACTGCCGGGTCCGATGACTTTGGGCCAGTTTCAGGACGCAGTGATAGAAATCCTACACTCCAGTGTGATCATTTCTGCAGCTCTACTTCATCAGTCTAGACTCTGACTGTGCACAATTTCCATTGTGACATTATGATACCCACAACACCCACAGGGAACGTTGAGTCACAGCTAACGTTAAAACGGCCACTGACAAAGGTGTAAAAACTAGAAATGCAGTTGTTGTGTTTCCAAATCTGTGGTGGTTCTCCTATTAATTCACCGACCATCATCATTAGAGGAGTGTATCAACAAGTCGTGCCATGATATACTGTGATAATATTGTCACAGCGATACATATATTGATGTTGTTACATGCTGAACATCAGGTTTACTAAAGTTACTAAAATTGAGGCAGAAGGATCTACATTAGTAATCGCTAGAGAAGAAATAAAAGCAAAATAAAATTGAAAAAAATGATACAGTATCATGATTCACAACATATCAGTGAATAGATATTTTCTCATACTCCAAATCATCATCACCATTAGAAATGCAAAATTAAGCATTGCATTTTGTTGATTTAAACCACAGTAGATTGGAGGTTTTACAGGCCGACTGTGCAGGTTAATGCTGAATGGTTTTACTAAAGGGTGCAGTTGAGAATCCTGCTTCCTGCTGTTTGTAGAGACAAATGTTACAGTACACAATGGACCAGAGTCTGAGTGTGTCAGGAGGAGAAAGGAAACTCAGAAATAGTCTCCTATCTCTGCACACAGCAGCATGCACGGCCCTGGCAACACGTACACATGTGCGCTCGCCAACACTGGCATACTAAATCCCCCTGGCATATGTTGGCACGATAGCAACCCGTATGCTCACTTCTGCTGCGCACACGCAGATTCACTCACACACACACACACACACACGGGTGTGTCACAGTAGCCATCTAGTTGGGGGAGGGAGAGACAGGAGGAGAGGGAGTGGGAGAGATCAGCATGGAGTGCATGTGCTCCAAATTATAAATGCATTCACATCTGGGTGAAAGGGTGATGCGGGGGGATGGGACGTGATCACAGACCTAAGTACACTGCAGAGAGAGAGGGAGACGTGGACACATGCCAGGAAAAGTTCAGTGTGACACAAACGGGGGGAAGGAGGAGAGAAAGAGAGAGAGAGAGAGGGGGGCGGGGGGGGGGCAGCAGCTGCTGAGAGTTAAGATGGAGATCAAGGAAAACAGTCAAGGTGAGAGCCATATCTGACCTTCACATCCACACCTCACACATCTCAACTGAGGATAATCAGCACAGGTTTTAAATCAACTCCGTCAGTGGTAAAATGGTTCAAAACGTGAAAAAAAAGAAAGAAAAAAAAAAGACCAATATTTTGCCAATAAAGGAACTGCTTGATCCATCTGTCACAACAAGAAGGAATCAGCCAAAGAGGTCACTAGAACAGACAGGAATAGACTAAAGTAATAATTCATTAGATTCTTTTTCACCATCAATTCTCCGAGTCCTCGCTTTAATACATGCTGTCGTGGTAGAAAGAAATCCTTAAATATAACAGGAGATAAAGAGAGGCGATGAAAATGCACTCACCTGGAATCAGCTCCCTCCAGGATGCGCTCAGCCTGGTTTCCTACGACTTCCTGTCTCAGATAATACAGCATCCTCACTCTCAGCAGCACCCTGAGGAACAGTGACACAAAACCATCAGGAACGGATCTTTAATCAAATTCATCAATAGATTGGTTTTTTTTTAGGCATGGAAAAAGGTTAGAGTTATAAAAACAGATCTAAATAAATGACCAACTTTCAACTACTGTTGATACTATTTAACTACTAAATCAAAGATTTGGATTTTTTATTTTAAACAGTCTGATTTCAGCTGTTCTGATTTTAAACTTTTTCCTACAGTTTCTTACATGGAATGGACCAATAAAATGACAACTGTCTGATGAATGAGCTGCAACAATATTCAAGGATCATACACCACATTTGATACCAGATGAATTAATATTAAAAAAAAATTGTGTGTTCAGTGTGTTAGTGACCAAGTGTGTGAGATGATAGTACACAAATGAGGATGCCAAAACTGTCATTAGCCAAAGTAAAGGGTCTGGGGTTATTCAGAATAATTCCAGGGTTCTTTCAGTCACTGATGTGCCTGAACAATATGCAGCCAGTAACAACTATTACCACAGCCTTTTCCACTGATAAATTAATAATCATCCTCTTAGAAGCAGGACAATTACAGTCAGTCAGAGACACAGCCAGGCCTGATCCTCTGACCTGCTCGAGGTGAAGCCCGATTCACACTAAATATTTGACGTCAAATTTGTCTCCAAAAATCAATGCCAGTAATGATGTTTGGAGCGGGAAACACAAAAAGAGAAGTTGGGAAATGGTGGATGGATCATTAGAGGGCAAAAAAGAAAATATAAAACAAGAAGCAGGTAAATTTGACAAAAAAAAAGGGAAGCCAGGAGGGATGGAGGAAAACAAGTCTGAGGGTCTGTCGTGTGCGTGTGTGCGTGCGCCGTGTCAGTAGCTCGTCCGTCCAGTGGCGCTCTGTGTGTGTGTGTGTGTGTGTGTGTGTGTGTGTTTGTTGGCTGCCTGTGACAAGTTGCAGTATACGTGTGTGTGTGTTTGTTGGCTGCCTGTATGTGCTCATCCATCAATGTGCCAGGCCTGATTAGCCACACAATGCTGTGCTTCAGCCTAGCAGATGGCACCACATAATCACCCCCAAGTCTGTGTGTGTGCGCGCACGTGGTCGCGGTCGCGTTGTGCACGTTCGCTTTTTACCCACTTCCAACAGGTCTGCCTGCCTAGCACCTGTCCTGGCACAGAGCCACGACGGAGACACAGACAAACTTTAGCCTCAAGAAGACGACGCACGTCTGCTCACCACGAAGAAGAAGAAGAAGAAGTAAAGAACGTTCCTGGCTGTTTCCAACACTTCGTCAGTCAAAATAAGAGGCAACAGCGTTTATCATGTCGTGTGAGTTCAACCAGGTGTGAGAAATCGAACCATCTTTGTTTTTAGCCTGCGAACATCTGCAGCTATGGTGGCGCAGAGGTAGGACCTAAAAATAATACTCTGTTCTCAAAAATTAGAGAGATAAAAAGCTAATCTGGAGGATTAAGATGAAGTTTCTTGATCTAACATAATGTGGTTCTTAAGGCAAATACAACACAGGAGCAGAGTCACAGTCACAGTCACATCAGCTCCAGGATGTCTTACTTGTTACAGTGATGTTTCAGATGTCTCTTGTAGCTATCTTCTTGCAGTAAATGGTCAGGATTACAGGTGACCAGCCAATCAGCTCGCGGACTCTGTAAAGGCTGGGCTGGCGTCTTCCCCTTCTTGCCTTTCCTTCCCCGAGGGACTGGAGTGGACAGGCCTGAGAAAGGACGGGAATTAGCATCGTAACAACCCGTACATCTGGGCCCAACGGTACCAAAGAAACTAAAGACCTGTTTTTTTTTTTGTATATCCAATACTCTTTATGAACAGTATAGCCACAGGGCACATCCATAACAACACAGTATAAATTACCAGAGTGGTTGGTCAGGGTCTTGGTGGTCCCATCTGCACTCGGTGTGATGAGGTCCCAGATGAAACTCTTGATGTTCTCATCACCACGGTAGTGCAGCAGACAGTAGGCCAGCAGAGCTCTACAGATGGTTTCTACATCCGCTTCCTTCAGGGGGCGCTTGAAGCGACCGTGGGCCAGGATGTCACCCCACCTGCCCCAACTGGTACAAGAGACATAGAAGCAGGGGGCATTAGTGAGCAGGTATCCTTTCATTGTTGTTCCATGTGTCAGAACTGATCTGGATAAAACAGGTTTATTATTACTGGGCTGGATATGTGCCATAAAAGCCTGAACCTTTACGTAAGCACACAGGTTGGTAAAAGTACTTTTCCGCAGCCTACACATTTCTAAATACAGTAAAACTCTCTACTCTACTCTAAAAGTACATGTGAGTCTGACTGCTGAAGACCCCACCCCCCCACCAGCCCCCTCCAATCACATCAAGTCAACCAGCAGGCTGGAGTAGCGGACTTTGCTGAAGCCAAAGGAAAAAAAAAAAAAAAAAAAATTCTTCCTGCTGGTGCTTCCCTAATCTTCACTGAACCATGTATTAGCCTGGACCATTTCAGATCGGGGAAAATGGCAACTCAATGTGAGGGGCGGAAAGAAATGGCTGATGGGAAAAGACAACAGAGCAGTGAGCTGAGAGGACAGGCCCAGTCAGTGTGTTTTTGTGTCATACAGCCTCAGGCCAACAGACGAGACTATAACAATAACAACGCTGACATCTCACTAGCACCACTGTTCTCTCTCTCACACACACACACACAGTCACACACACAGTCACACCAATTCAGCCACATAAATGGACAAGCTCACCAGACTCACCAGACTCAGGGCTAAGTATATGTTACAACTACACGCTGTATACACGTCCTAGTTCAGGAGTGTTGTTTTTAAATTTTAGGAGTCGGTGCAAATGAAAAGCATTAACCCAGTAAGAGCTGCATAAAAAGACAGACAGGAAAAAAAAAACATTTATTAAAAATATATCAACAGTCGAGCCATCTTTCTTCCTCCCCGGTGACAACACAGAATTAGCACATGTGGTGAAATGTCATATTTTTTTCACACTGAATTCCCCTTCCTGGGTTCAAACCCACCCGTAAAGCCCCCTCCCCCTCCCGAGCTGTGTGGCAGCATGGAACCAAATCACTAAGTCGCCCTTCCCCCGCTCTCTGTCAATCTATAGCAGCGCATACGGGTTTACATTTACTGGAAGCAACACAGACACACACGTACACACAATAGAATGTTTTCCTCAGCATCACCATCGGCTAAACCAGGAACAGTGGGCCGTACGTTACTGCCCTGAGGGGTCGGGGGGGGGATTAATGGTGCTTGCTTGCCACCCCACAACTCTGCCAAAGTGGGGAGTTAAACTAGCAACCATCTGATCACAAGACCTTTCAGAAAAGTGCAAATATTTAATGGATTGAACAGTAAATAAGTGACAAACCCGTAGATGAGCAGGTTCTTCTCCACTCTGAAGCACTCAGACCGGGGGTAGCCCTGGGCTTTATCTTGGGGTCTCCGGGGTTTGGAGGATGGTTTGCTGGGCTCGTCCTCGTCATCGCTCTCCAGCTCGGAGAACTCCATCATCTCGTCCTCCTTGATGCTGCTGTAGTGCCTGGTCTGCTTCCTGACTCTTGGGGTATCAATCACCAGTGTGTTCTAGACAAGAGTGAAATGAACGGTGCTCTGTCACTTTGCTTTAATGACCCAGAGGCTGCTGTGCTTTTCTTTTGCCGCCTTCACTAAAGAAATGTGCTTTAACGGCTAACGTCTGACAACAGAAACACAAAGCAGCTTCAGTTTGGTTCCTGAGATGCAGCCGTGGATTAATCCCTTGTATACTCTGATCACAACAAGGCAGATTAATTGGGTTTTTCCTAATGCGCAGAGAATTGCTGGCCAGCTCAGACATTACCTGACATTAATTATGTCGGCTAATGAATTACACTTTTGTTCAATTAATTAGATCGTCTCCCCCAGTCATGTCATTATGTGCAAACAGGGCAATAGTTCGGTCTACAATTATCACAGAGCATCTCTGTTATTTCTATTTTAACATCACACTGGATATTCCCAGAGGACTAGTCCGTACTCACGCTCACAGAGCTGGAGTCGGAGTGTGTGTGTGTGTCAGTGGAGGATACTTTGTAAGACGAACGGCAACAAACAGACAAAGAAATCAGCAGGGACAGAAGCTCATAAAGAAAATAAGTGAGCAAATAGAGAGGAAAGGAAAGGGAGAATGAAGATGCCTGTTAATGCTGTGAAACACTGTTACCAGGCTTTTGTGTGTGTGTGTGTGTGTGTGTGTGTGTGTGTGTGTAAGGGCTCTCTAAGTGATATCTCTGCACCCTCCAAGCATCTGCGCTCTGTTAAGTGGAGCTAAGCAGCTTAGTCTCTCATTTAAACACATTCACATGAGAGCAGGGAAACATGGGTAATTATGAAAGAGAGGAGATTCTCAACTGTCAATATTAATCTTTCTCCTACTCTCTCTAGTTGCTTCTAAAGTAACGAGAACACCAGTGGCCGCCATTTAATGACCTTCCCCCGAACATTATTACATTACATCTATTTTCCTGACAATCCTTCATTACCAGGACTTGTTTTGACAGTGAGGATGAAGTTTTTGAGGGCATTTTTTTATTACCCGTCCATTAATGGCATCCAGGTCCAGCTCTGCCTTTTTAGCCCACTTCTGCCAAAAGTCTGGGTCCTCCAGGGAGATGTCTGTCCTGTTACCTGCGGCAACAAAGCTGGCCTGCAGAAAGACAGCAAGGTCTGAGTCATCTCCAGGTTATCACCATTTTGACAGTCTGTTCTTTCATCTTTGAAGAATGGGGGAGTTTATACCTTAGCAAACGTGGAGCCTTTGCCCTCAGATTCAATGGTAATGGTGTGCGTTCGTCTCTGGAGGATCTGGTCGATGTCTTCCTCGCAGAATTTTGAGCCTTCATCTTCTTCGTCCATCAGAGCACCGTAGGCTCCTTTTCTCAGCAGGTCTTCAATCTCCTTTTTGGACAACTGTTGGACCTGCAAGAGAGCGGTGCGTCAGAATAACACTATGACAACATACATGCTAACAGCTATGCTAAGGACGAATCAGATTTCATCAATAGATACCCCGTTGTTGGCGTTTTCCCGTCCACTCATGCTTTGCAGGACGGCCTTGTCAAGCCCCAGTTTCAAGCTGGCCTTGTCAAACATCTCCCTCTCGTAGCTGTTTCTGGTGATCAGACGGTAGATCTTGACGGCCTTTGACTGACCAATACGGTGACACCTGGCCTGAGCCTGGAGGAGGCACATTAGAAAATTAAATAAAAAGTTAACATTTATTTAACCCTCAGGTTAACAACAAAATAAAACCCTGAAACCCTGGAGGTCGTTCGTACCTGCAGGTCATTCTGAGGATTCCAGTCAGAGTCAAAGATGATGCAGGTGTCTGCAGCAGTCAAGTTGATTCCCAATCCTCCGGCTCTTGTACACAGCAAGAAGACAAAACGGTCCGAGTCCGGTCGAGAGAAACGGTCGATGGCGGCTTGTCGCAGATTGCCACGAACTCTGCCATCAATACGTTCATAGGGATATCTGAACAAAGATTCCAAAACACCGATAAGGATTACAGTCAAATTGGGAAAATAACCTTGAAGATGTAACATTTGACCAAAATAAGTTGTAATAAATGAAATTTTGGTTCATCACAGCCTGTTTTTTTCTACAGCGAAAGTCAACAACAACAGGGGGAGAATTCTAATTTGTTTGGACCATTGGAGAACCTTAACACATCTCCACTATTAAATGGATTTTATGAGGGATGGGATTCAGATGTTAGAATATTGATCAGTGCAGATCAGTTCGCCTTTCACCTACTGAGAACTCAGTGGATCTGCACTCTTACCGTTTCTGGATGAGGTAGTCCTCCAGGATATCCAGACAGCGAACCATCTGACTAAACACCAGGACTCTGTGGCCGCCTGCCTTTAGTTTGGGCAGCAGCTTGTCAATGAGCACCAGCTTGCCAGCGGCCTGTATCATGGCCTGCAGAGCCATGTCTGGCATATCAGCACGACCTCCATGCGAGTCCCTGAACTCGTCGATAATCTTCTCCTCCGCTCCTAAAAAAAAAAAAAAAAAAGTTTAATTCACAGTTGAAATGATTTGCCTGCCGTGGAGTTGGTCTGTGAGTTTTAGTTCTGGTACTTACCATTGATGAGGTAGGGGTGGTTGCAGCATTTCCTCAGCTCCATCATGGTGTTCAGGAGGTTGGGGACATTGGCCCCTCCTCCTCCTCCACCACCTCCACCACCACCACTTCCACCAACACCTCCTTTGGACAGGAAGGTAAAATTCTTCTCCAGAATGGCCCGATAGTACTTCTTCTGGATGTTTGTCAGCTCCACCTGAAAGTCATTTATTAGTCATTTCTGTGTTCTTTAATATGTAAAATTGTTAAAGACTAAGGAACAGCTGAAAACACAGGCCTTAAAAAAAAAAAAAAAATCACTCGACCTCGATAATAGTCTCCTCCTTCGGTGCCAGGTTCTTCTCGACATCTTCCTTCAGTCTTCTCAACATCATGGGCTTCAGAATGCCCTGCAGTTTTTGAACCTTAAAACAAACACACATGGGAACGTTAATACTCTGCTGTTAATACCATCCTTCTCTAAGGATAAAGGACGGACAAAGGAATCAGAGGCCTGACCTGTTCTTCAGTCTTAAGGTCACCAAATTCAGTCATGAAAGTCTGTTCAGATGGGAATCTCTCCGGCTCCAGAAAGTTGAGCAAGCTGAAGAGCTCCTCCACGGTGTTCTGGAGGGGAGTTCCTGTCAACAGAACTTTGTGCTCCTGAAGGTGGAGAAGGAAAGGAAAGGAGTCACATATTTAGAATGTCTAAAATTGGATACAGGATGTCCGCCGAACTCCAAAAGCGGATAAATCTTTTAGAATGACACAGGGACCGGGTAACTTTATACAAATCTGATTAAATTTCAACAAGCAATTTGGGAAAACATTTTTAACTAAAATGACAATTTTATCACCCCCTCCAACCCCACTCACCATGTCCATCATTTTGAGTCCTTCCAGGAGTTTACAGTTTCGATTCTTGAGGCGGTGGGCTTCGTCTATCACGACACAGCGCCAAGGGATACTGCGAAGCTCCGGACAGTCAGCCAGTATCATTTCAAAGGTTGTTATCACCGCATGAAAACGATACGCTCCCTTTATAATTTTACCCTGGAGACGGAGGAAGAGGGAATGGAAATTAGAGGAAAACAAAATGACAAAATGTCCCGTGTCTTTTCCCAGGACTTTAATCCGTCTTGATTTCTGTTATTAGAGGTTAAATGGTTTAAGGAGGGTCGATAACAAGAATTGGTGATGTGCTGGACAGACGGGGTCAGGGACGTCCAGTTTAGGTATAAAACCTCTGAGATCATTTCTCTCTTCACCGATGATCAATTAAATAAATTTATTTCAGTGCAGCCCAGCGACCACGGTGTCCTTGCAAAACGACCTTGAGTTTGGCTTTAGCCTGGATTAGAAGCAAGCCCACAGCTTATTTTCTTTGCAGGCTCACTGTGGCAAAGGTCATCTTGAAGATGTTAGCGGTGCCGTTCACTGAGAGCTTACAGTAGATGGCTTACTGCTGAAGGACCGTGAGGAGCTGACACCGTGAATCCTCTGTTGTCTCAGACTGACCCAGGGTTTAAAACTGCCATCATCCACACAATCTACAATCACGCCCCACAACCAGAGAGACAGGCCATCATCTCATTACCTGTGCGTCTCTATAGTGCATCTCGTAGGCCTGGATGGTCTTGCGGCTGGCCTGGCTCCCGTGGTAGACCACAGCATTGAGTTCAGTCCAGGTTCTGAACTCTCGTTCCCAGTTGGGGATGGTAGAAAGTGGGGCGATGACCAGGAACGGCCCCTCAATACCCGTCATGTACATCTCATAAAGGAAAGTGATGGACTGGATGGTCTTTCCCAGACCCATCTCATCGGCCAAAATACAGTTACGTCTGAGCAGGACAGACGACAGAGGAGCGTGAGAGGCTGAGCTTCAGTTTTATGTCCATATAGTCACATCATCTTAATAAACTTTCCTTCCAAAGTACTGGCTTTGAGATGAAAACGTTTACTAATCTAGAGATCTGTTATAAAAGGTCATAAACATGGACATCCAGCCGTCATGTAGAAACAGACAAGTTAGGAGTTTTAACTTTTAACACTAGATGCTCTGTAATGTGAATAAGGTGTCATGTCAACACCAATCAGTGACTTACATGAATCAAATATAAAAAGAAGGTTGACTTACGAGTTGTACCAGTTGAAGGTAAGCCAGTTGAGGCCTTCCAGCTGGTATTCCCTGAGTGTGTTTCCATTCCTGTAATCTCTGGAGCCCTCCAGCTTCTTCCAGTCGGCAGTAGGGGGCCGATCCTAGAGGCAGAAATTTATTTTAATAAATTGGGGATTTATTAATGAAATATTGATGATTTTGGAAAGCGTGTAACTTGTGAAGAACATATAGGCAATAGTTCTGAAAAAAACTCTTAACTGAGTTCTTTTTAGTTCACCATATTATTCACCCGTTTATTTGTTATACAGTAACAGAATTCAAATTCTCTAGAATTTCCTAAAAGCTACAAGAAAATGCCAATTTTTGTCTTTTCAGACGAACAAACCTATTCCCACAAACACACTGCTAACACGGCTAAAAATACGACTGCCTCCGTGCGCTGCCCTGGAGCATTTCTGACACCGTACTTTAAAGAGACACAGTAGGCAGTAGTTATGGAGATGGACAAGAAAAGAAAGGAGTGATGGAGAGAAATACCACAGCCTGTCAGCTGCTTCTGTTCAGCATTAAACACACTGTTAGTGGTTTGGAGCAGCCACAGGGGCAGGGCGTGTGTGAATGTGTAACACCACAAGAACGTGGCCCTGTGGAGAGCATTAAGGGAGCTGTAAATCTGCAGAAGGAAGGAGCAGGCGGAAGGCCAACGCACACAAACACACATGTGCACACACACCTACTGGGGGTAGGCTGAGACACAGATCGCACCCAAAGAGCATCCATCAACTCCTTAAGCTCATGCACACATGCTCCGGCACAGACGGCGACGACGAGGAGGACTCACCACTCTCTTAGTGTTGGGCGTGCGGGCTGCGATGTGTTCGTATTCCTCTATCTTTGACTGGTCAATGTCAGCCTTCAGCTCCCACGTGGACTCTTCGTAGGGCAGACTGCACCATTTCACCAAATATAAGGTCACCAACTGCACATAAACACACACACACACACACACGTATGAGACCAGGACTGTGAGAGGGGAAGTGAGTCAAAGCCATGGGAGATGACAGGAAGGCTTCAAAGTACCTCTCCATTTTCATCTGTGCTCTCTGAAATGTCCAGGACACGATCCACCTCGACATAGTCTGGGTTAAAAGGCTCGTCATCCATCTGCACAGAAAGGAAAAATAAAATAAATTCACTGTCAGGACTGGAAAGTCCTTCTGAGGCTCAGGTTTGCTTTCATTTCTCTGGGAATGAATTTTTATTGGTTACGCTGAGCTTTAACATCCACGCAACTTCAAGCAGTTGAACTCTCATTACAGCTAATTACTCTGGACAGCAATGAACAGATATTGTTAATTTAGTAATGACTAATCACAGGATAAATGACAGTTAATCAGGATTAATGTTCATCCAGATAAATCCATTTTCTCTATATAATTCTAGAACACAGACATACCAGCAGGTAGAGCTAATTAATTTCACATACAAACTTTTTTTTTTTTTTTAAATCAAGACCTGCAGCTTTATTCATTTGGCCTTAAACCAAATCTTACCTCAGTGATGAAGCTGTTGAGTTGTTGCTTGGCCTTATACCTCTTGATCTTCTGGTGAACTCTTTTGTCCTTCTCCAGCTCCTGCAGGTCGGCCCAGCGACAGTGGAGGTAGGAGCTGAGACGCAGGAGACCCAGAGTCAGTATCAGAGTCAAAGGCACCAGAGTTACTCATTTTTGAATGGAAACTGTAGGCTGGGACGTGCAACTGTGACGCTCTAAGGGGGCTTTGAATCTAAATAAGACAATATCACATGTCTCTCAGCTACAACTAGTCACTGGACAGAAAGGTATTTTACAGGAAAATGAGGTGACATTGACAGATGATGGGCAGAAACAAACGTGTAACTCCGCTGGGAAAAACTAATATAACCAAACACTGGGGCTGACAGGAAAAAGGAGAAAGAAAAAAAATCTTCCTTGAGCATTTTTATATGAATGAAAAAAAGGCATGTCACTCACAAGCCCTTGAACTTCACATAGAATTCTTCCACTTCAACTTCCTCTCCCTCTTCCACCTGAAATGCAAAAAAAGGTTATTAACATCTGAAATCATAATCTGAAAGAAAATGTCGGTCATTTTCTTCATGCCATACAGTTATGTCGCACCACCAGAGACGACCCTCTGCTGCTTTTAATCTTCTTTTCAACCAGCCAAGATGAAACAAAGCACGAGCTTCCGTCTTTAAACATCCTTTAACTCTGTGACCACCACAGCTGATGTTTGTACCTTTTGTAGCAAACAGCAGAGGGCGAGTTTATACAACAATAAGTCCTGTGGATCAGAGGACGTCGCCTTTTATCTGTCCAAATCAAAGAAACAACTCACTGGATAATGTTGGTGACTGGAACTAAGACAACTTTTGAGTCGAGTTCTTGGAATTAATGTGGACGACGGGTCTTATACAGAAAAAGTGAACAGAATTTAGTTGTATTTATGTGTTTTATATTGGAATGGACTTAATCTTATCTTCAGTCAAACTGGTAACACCATCAGTTGTCACACAGGACATGACAAACTGACATGAAACAGCCAGCAGCTCAGCTGAGTCTGCCTGTTAGGCCTTTTCTATATAATGTTACACATGAAAGAGGAAATGCCAAATAATTAGCCCTCTCTCGCACAGCCGTCTCCTTCCTTTCTCATACACACACACACGCGCGCACGCCCACACGCACATACACACACAAGCCACTACTACTGTAATACCATGAATCATCAATCACACACACACACCCACACCCCCTGCCTGAGGAAATGCTAGCTTGGTGTCTGCTATAGTGTTGTGGTTTTGGTTGCGTGCCAAGCCCAGGGTCAACTCTGAATGGAGCTGTGAGAATGTGTGTACATGTTGGTGTGCGTGCACGAGCGTGTGTGTGTGTGTGTGTAACCTGCTGGCAGCTGGCTAGCAAAGGAAAGTTGGCCTGCTACTGCATGTGCACGTATGTGTTGGCTCAGGAATGAGCTTTCTTTAGACAAGACATTTAAAACAAAGCGTGCGCACGCACGCACACACACACACACAGAGCTCCGAGCAGTGAAATACAAGAACTCTTGTCTTTTCTTTCTAAGTGAATACTGTCTGAGACTGGGTGTGTGTGTGTGTGTGTGTGTGTGTGTGTGTGTAAAACCTGCTCAGACCAGCTGTGGAGCGGTAACTGTGATGACGTAAACCCTGACTGGGGTTAGGTTGTCTGTGTGTATCATGTTAGTGGGTCTCTCTCCCTCTGCTGGTCTCACCTGTTTGATGCTGGTGCGCAGACCCATGATCTTCTCCACGATGGGTCCCTCAGCTTCAGCCACGTCCTGAAATCACACAGTATAAAGATAAATGAAAAAAAGAAAAAGGCCAGCACATAAAAACAGCCATTACACATTTCACTCTCACTTTTTGATCTCGTGGACCTTCAAAAGGTTTATTCTGAGAGTGTTGCTTTGACCTTGTGCCGTGTTGCACATCTATTTCAAATATTCCACCGAGCAGATGTTTGGTTTTGATCGCAGCTCAATGACTTGCCACTCACACACTGCATGGTGCCAGGTGCTGAGTTTTGTTTCTTGGTTCTTAATCATTTGGTTCTTTGACAGAATAACTTATGTGGAAAAAAAAGTTATTTCTAAGTCTGTTTTTTTTTTCCTGTCATTTTGTTTTAGCTTCTAATTAAATCTGATCTCAGCTGATTATCTTAGTCTGATGACAAGCAATTATAAAGTATGGTCCAATCAGACCAACATCATTGGATTAAAGACTGCAGTTCTCCAGGGCTTTTATTAAGTCACTTTGGCTCCTGACCTTTCAGTCTTTTGTTGAGAAAAAAAAAAAAAACTCCAGAAAAAGAGGGGCTTTAAGCCATGACGCTCCAGGCAAAACAATTGAACGATTGAATTTTATTTTACAAAAAATAATAATAAATTGTACCCTGTACATCAGGAGCCTTTTTAATTTCCATTCACATTATAAGATCCTTGATGACAACTTTTAATTTAATCCAGTGACACATGAATGATTTAAGGAAATACAAGGTGTACCTGTTGTTGGGATGATGAAGATGGAGACTTAGGAGCAGATGAGTCATCTCCACTGACATCCTCATCTGAAATCTTAAACTCCAGATCCTCGGTGTATCGCTTCCTCTTCACCTGGCGACTGGAGCGGCGTTTCTGCAGGCAACAGGAAGCAGAGAGACAAAGGTGTCAACGTTCCTGCAGATGCCTCACGTCAACCTGGCAGTGGGGCCCCGTGTGTTTGGCCTTTCAACAAGACTCATTTACAAAACTAACAGTCGACATTGTTGGCCCACTGCCATGTTCCTTCTCTGGCAGTGACACCGAGAAATCTGCTAGGCTAATGGGGCTGCGGTGCAGTGAGGATGACTGTGTTTTCCAAAGTGTATAGTGCCTTGGATTTACAGTGACCCCCAGAAACCTGTAGGTGGTGCTTGGTACAAAATCTGTTACCTGTACACCGTCATCCTCATCTTCTTCATGAGGGGATGCGGGTGGAGTCTTCACCTCCGTGTCATCACTGATTGACAACTCTCTTTTCCTTTTGGAATCCTTCTTAGCAGCGCCAACATCGACCTCTGATTCCACCTTCTTACCACTGCAATAAGAGGAGAAATAATTCAGAAAAATCATTGTGGGAAAAAAAAAAAATCTTGCCTCCTATCACACTTTTACACAGAGAAGCCTCTGTGTGTGTGTGTGAGAGAGAGAGAGATAAAGAGAGAGAGAGTGTGTGTGTGTGTGTGTGCCTGTCTGTCCCAGGGTGGTCGCCATGTTTGATTTACCCATTTAGAAATCATTAGTATGCCTCAGGCTCTGGTACACAGGGGGTTAATATGATGAAAGACTTCAGAAGAGGCGGAGGGAGCAAGGTAGTGAGATAGAAAGATACAGGGAGGTGGAGCAGATGTGGGGGAGGGGGGTAAGGGCAGCAGGAGAGAGAGAGAGAGAGAGAGAGAGATAGAGAGAGACACAGGCGGAGGGAGCGAGAGAGAGGCCCCAGAGAAAGGAGGGGGGAAGGGTTAAGAGGCCCCAGGCCTCCTCCCATTCTCTGGCGTGGTGGTGGGTGCACATAAAGGCTGGAGTCACCCAACATAAGGTGTACCTACTTTTCACCCAATCATCAGTCGCAGGGGAAAAACACCAGTGGCTGAACTAGATTGTCCACTTTTGTAGTGAACTCCTCTAAATATTTGGAAACAGAGAAAGAAAAACCACAGACTCTGAACTGTTGACTATTTTTTTAGCATGCACTCAGAACACTGCTCACAGTTGGTGGTGGTGCAAGAAGAAGAAGAAGAAAAAAAAGGTTTGTCTTTGCAGTATTTCCTCTTCCAAAACAAGAGACTAAAGTAAAATGCATCACAGTAGGATTGATCAACTACACGGTTTGATGCAACCATTTTACTTCACAACAAGTTTCTGGTGCTTTGGTGGCATTTTGTAACATCTGGAGAAGAAAAAACAAATCATGTCTGTCCTGAAGAGTATAAAGAAATGGAAGATGAACTTAGTTTAGGGAAGAACAGCCAAATTAATGACAAATTACAACAACACACAATTTAATAACTTATTAGATGAGGAATTCATCAAATGGATTCATCCAGTAGGTACAGTAGGTACTCTGACCTCGTATTCTTGAGACACTTCACCAAAAAGTCAGGTGCAGTGTGTACTAGAAAAGAATGTGAAAAATGTCTCCAAACATTTAATTACGACATTCTCAATTTGACGTCGTAGACCAACCGTATCCATTGTTTGTGGCAGCTCAATACATTTGGTTTTTTTTTTAATTAACCATAAATAAATCTACTGATCCACAGTAAAACACAGAGTCCTCTGTCTGTGTGTGTGTGTGTGTGTGTTGCCTATCCTGTGATGTTCCAGTGAGTCTGCACATCTCCCTCTCCTCTGTGCCTATGTCACTCACCCGCTCTCCTGCTCTGTGCCTCACTCCCTCTCTCCCTCTCTCTCTCTCTCCCCCCCCCTCCACTCTCGCCCCCTCTGTGTCCCTTGGGCCCTTCTCCTTTCATCCTCACGCCAAAAGCAATCACGATCTCCGTGGTAACGGCTGGTCATGTGACCTGCACCTGTTCCTCTGGCTGGTCGCCACTAGCTAAAGCCATCTGGCCGCACGAGCACACACACATGCACACTTCTCCACTTGGCTGCCTTCTCTTCTTCCTGGCCTCACTTCTCCATCACTCTGACTCTTTGTGCTCACTCCATCCTCTCTTTCCTCTGTCGTCTAAACTTAACTCTTCATCAACAAGCCCTCCTTTATTTGTCCTTGTTGGCTCCACAAATGTGCTTAGAGTGAGAGAAAAACACGATTAAAAACCTCCAAATATCACAGTCAGGAAATACTACGACACACATCATATCAAGTCTGACAGAGCAGCAACAATATCAATAGTTTTAACTGTTAACTAGAAGGCAGCAGGGATTACTAATTGCCACCAGGTGGACTAGAGAGCATTTAATCCAAATACTACATATATTTAACGGCTACGGTGAGAGACTGTTGTTGTTGCTGTCGCCAGAGTTGAGCTTCTATCGTTTCCACAGTTAAACAATCCGACCGATGATGAACTTTATTAGACACTTGATCTGACGACAGATGTGAATGTGAGTGAGTGTTTGTTTGTGTCTGTACCAAGTTCAAAAACGGACTAATGATATGTCATGGTGTGTCCACTGAATGTCAGCAGGGACAACCGTCCCCGGTGACCTTTACAGAAGCACCGAGGAGCTGATGTATCCAGACGAATATTTCATCTTGTCGGGGAGTTTCAGTTAAAAAGGTAAGTAAAAAGTAAGGGTCGACAGTATATTTATCATCAGACAATGCAGTGGTCATCCCTGAACAACTGTTTCTGGACATTTAGACACTTAGAGATATTTAGTCGAATCATAAAATGCCATAAGTGAAAGAGGACAAGGCTGCATTGATTACCTTGTTGGACGGAACTAAAAATGATTCTAACAATTGACCAGTTTATTTGTAAAATATATATTTTTAATTGGTTCCCACACCATGTCACATGGTCAGTTGTCAGTGAAAGTCTTGGAAATGTGAATTTTAGAGAGAAAAAAAAAAGTCAGACACAGAGAAAGGTGGTCTTTGATTTGAGGAAGACCAACTGTAGCTGCAGCATCCCTCTCACACACACACACACACACAGAGACACACAACAGTGGTCCGATGGCAACACTTAGGTTTGTTTGTTTGTTTGTGTGTGTGTGTGTGTGACCACAGAGTGCTCTATTTGCACACATGAACACAGCAAAGCATCGGGCATGTGCACGTCTTGACATTTTTATGTGTACAGCAAACAAAATCAGCCATCTACCCACACTGACTGGGCGGGTGAGGCAGCTGAGAGCCGAGTTATTTATAGACAGACTTCCACTGAGAGAGATAGACAGGGAGAGAGTGAGAGGGAGAGCGTGTGTGTGTGTGTGTGTGTGTGTGTGTGTGTGTGTGTGCGTTTTCAAGTGAGACCCATGAAAAAAAGAAGATAGAAGCAAGGTCAAAGGAGAGGAGTGAGCTAAGCACAGAAGGAGACCACCTGATTCTCTGTGAAATGCAATCCCACCTCAGTGACTCTGAAAACACCCAGCGTCTCTATTTATCAGGTATTTTGAATTTAGACAACCTGAGGAACCTCAATTACCACATTCAGGTACATTTTACTACATTGTACTACGTTAGTAACTGCAAACTGTTTAATGCTCAGAGCAGATCAGGGTAAAACTCAAGATAAAACGTATCTAACTGGGGTGTGAATTGGCAGGAATCTGGTGATACGTCATATATCATGACACAAGGGGCAATGAGTTTTGTTTCTGAAAACTGTCAGCATAGTAAACACACAACGCTGTTACACACTAAATATTAGGTTACTAATATTGTACACATCTGTAATCACCAGAGAAGAAATAAAAGCATTTGCATGATTTTTGGATAAACAAATGAAAACATTAAGGGATCTATGATAACGTCGGAAGCTGAAGTCGACCAGGCAGCAGCAGCTGGAGCTGGAGCTACACGGTTTACCTAACTGAGGACTTCTTAAATATAGTACTTTACAGAAAGCCTACAGATAAAAAACAAGTTTCTAAAGCCAATGTCACAAAATAAAAAAAATAAAAAAGCAGAGACCTTCCACTCTGACAGACTAAGAGAAATCAAAGGACAAGGCATGCGGTTAAGGAAATGGGAATGGATGTAAAAAGATGAAAGGGTTCACTTCCCTCCATCAGAAGGGGACGCGATTAAAGGAAAAGGAGTGGACAAGAAAAGGGAGAAGATAGTTGGATGATTGCAGGAGTCCACCATTTTAGAGTAGCACTGAATGGCCAGCAGCCATTATTATGCTAAATTAACCTTGGAGCTACAGGCCGCCACTCAAGATGGAGGAAAGCCTGACACCAGATAAGGGTTAGTTTACCAACACACACCCACTAGGAATCAGCCTCCTCCCCCCACATTTCCTCTACACACACACATTCGCACACACACACACACACACTTGTGGCTGTGGAGTGGTCAGCAACATGGCCTTCATTATCATTAGACGCCATTTTCTGCCACACAGAGAGAGAGAGAGAGAGAGAGAGATTACTAATGACTCCTCTGACACATGCATGCACATAAACACAAAAGGACGGCCGCTGACTGCCTCACACACACACGTTCCCCACCCCCGACTCTTCCACTGACCTGTGAATGTGGGGCTGCGCAGACACACACACACACACACACACACCTCCCCCAGTCCTCACACTGACTCTCTGCTCTGGACTTCCCTCTTGGAATAATAGAAAAAACTTAGAGCAGAAATCACACTGTGACTTTTAAAGTTGTAGGACCACCACACACACACACACACACACACACCTTCGTTTGATTTGACTATGGAGTCACATGTTATGTTGGGTTTAGTTTTACAGTCAGACCTGGGAAACAACAGGTGTGACACCTGTAACACTTCAAAACACTAATACTCACAACTCACATAATTTAAGGTCATTTCTAATTTTTTGTTTTCAATGCTTTGATGATGTGTTTGTACTGAAGTTTCATCACTACCGTCCCTGTGACTCCTAAACCTCCTGGAGACATTGTTGCACACACACACAGACACACACACTGAGGTGCTCCTACCTGTTCTTCTTGGGAGTCTTGGTCTTGGTCACTGAGCTCTTGGCTTTCTTCTCCTTGGGCTCTTTGGGGGTCTTGGGTGTTTTGGGTGTCTTCGCAGTTTTAGGCTCTTTGGGCTCTTGGCCCTGTGCCTTCTCCTTTGGTTTCTTTTTCCGCTTCTTCTTCTCTCCTTCTGATGGTGAGCTTCCCTCTACAATTCCTGTGCCAGTAACCTGTTCACAAGCCTCACTTCCTGGATTGGGGAGTTCTGACTTGAAGTCTTCCTCCACTTCTCCAGCAGCCATCTTCCCCCCTTCCTCTCCATCCACCACCTTAGCTTTCTTCTTCTTCTTCTTTTTTGGCTTGGTCTCGGGCTGGCCGGACTGCTCTGTGCTGATAGGCTGGCTGGGAACACCAGCGGATACAGTCGGCCTTTCAGGAACCATCATCAAGGCATCGCCTGATGGGTCTGTCGGGGAATGCTGGTGAAGAGGGTAAAGAGAAATTCCCACAATTGAATTAGAAAGCAAATACATAAAACCACAAATGAACACATTCATAAACTAAAGAGGATTTTTTTTTCCTCACAGCAAAGAATATTGGCAGATCAACCTCCATCAACTGTATTCACTCCTGACACCCTTATCAATTTACTAAATTATATCTGGGCTAAAACCAGCCACCTTCACTACACCAGATCACGAACGATAACATTTGACCTCAGATCTTTTTTTTTTTACTACGTCAGACATAAAATCATGTATTTTCTTTGACTTGTCTCTGTGCAGTTTGGAGAGCAACGGCCAAATATCAATTCCACCAGCCACGCATTCTCCTCAAGACCCCGTGTTGCTATGGATCGCTCCCTGCTGCCGGCTCCACCTTCGCCGGTGCTAACCTCAGTAAACAAACTGGCTGACACCTCCTTTTTCCCCTCCACTTCCTCTCCTGTTTACTAAAATCTCTCTTTCGTTCTATACCTTCTCATTGCTCCCAAGTAAGCTCTCTGACAGGAAACTGGTTACCAGCTGTTGGGAGCCTCTCCAGCTGCCTCTCCTCCCGTTCCTTCTCTTCTATCCCTCCATCTCTCCCTCCTGCTTCCTCTCTATCCAGCTGCTCAGGGTCCCAGTAGCAGATGGGAAATCAGGCTTCATGACACAAATAAATTATCTCCATACTTCAAAAAGGCACAGCGAGGGAGTGCGAGAGTGTGTGTGTGTGTGTATGATATGAAAGGGGGAGAAAAAAAAAAGGCTGTGCCTTTGAGAGGGGGAATATGTGCACTTCAGTGCAAAAAACGGTGTCAGTGAGGTGTGTTGGAGTACAGGGCAACACACGCACACCAACACTTACAACCTGGTTGTATAATCGAAGGCAGAAGGAGTTGGAGAATTGTAATGGGAAGTTCACTTCCATCAGGCGAATGCTAATGTTCATACACACCAACCTGCTGCAAGGTCACACCAGACAAACCTCTGCACAGAAACACCTGACACGTGTAAGCTGAAGCCATTTAGTAACACAAGCTGTGAGAGTGTGTGTGTAGTCTACGAGAGAGAGGGAGAGAGACTGAAAAGGGG